ACCTTATCCGCTCCATATTGCTGAGGTTGAATACCAGTCTCTTTTTGGCAGAAGACTGAGACAAAGAAGGTTTGGACAGCTCTGCCTTTTCCCTAGCCCTTGTTAACATTTCACCACTTTCTCCACGCAGAGGCCCTACCATTTCCTTTTCTTCCTTTTTCTACTGACATAAACAAAGAAACTCTTTTTATTGTTTTTAATCTCTCTGGCAAGCATGAGCTCATTTTGCACTTTAGCCTTATGAACCTTTTCCCTACAGGAGTTGGTTATTTGTTCAAATTCCTCTTACGTGATTCCTGCCTTTCCATTTCTTGTATATGTCTCTTTTAAATCTTAGCTCAGTTGAAAGTTCTTTGAACATCCATTTTGACTTCTGTAGACTTCTCTTCTTTTTTCTCCTTGTTGGCACTGTTTGCATTTATGCTTTCAGTATCTCATTTTTAAGAAACTCCCATCCATCATTAACTCCCCTCTCTTGAAGTATTCCTATCTATGGGATCACACTCAATATATCTTTTGGATCACACTCAATATTTAATGTAGGTATGTAATACATATATTAAAATACACAAAACAAAGATTAAAATACGGTAAGTACAAGACATGAGTTTAACATTCATAGTTAAATATCTTCATGAAACCATTGGGAGAGATCATCCAAAGTTCAATGTCATCTCTATGTAGATGATGTTCAGCGCTATCACTCCTTTCTACCTGTTACTAAAGAGGCTGTTCAGGTCCTAAACCGTGCTTGGAGGCTGTGACGGTCTGGATGAGGGTAAACAAATTGAAACTGAATCCAGACAAGACAGAGGTACTCCTGGTCAGTCAAAAGGCTGAACAGGGTATAGGGTTACACCCCTCAAATGTTCACAGCTAGGGAGTGATCCTAGACTCATAGCTGAGCCTGGAACCCCAGGTTTCGGCAGTGGCCAAGGGAGCATTTGTACAAATAAAACTTGTGCACCAGTTGTGCCCCTACCTTGAGAAGCCAGACTTGGCCATGGTGGTCTATGCTCTTGTTACACCCTGAATAGACTACTGCAATGCACTCTACGTGGGGTGGCCTTTGAAGACTGTTTGGAAGTTTCAAGTGGCCTAATGGGTAGCACCCAGGTTCCTCACTGGAGCAGCGTACAGGGAGCATACAGCCCACCTGCTTCGTTAGCTCCACTGGTTGCCAGTTTGCTACCGAGCACAATTCAAAGTGCTGGCTTTAGCCTGTAAAGCCTTAAACGGTTCCGGCCCAGCTTACCTGTCCAAACGTATCTTCCTCTATAATCCATCACAGAGATTAAGATCCTCTGGGGAGGCCCTGCTCTCGGTCCCACTCCCCCACCCCCCCACAAGCTCAGTTGGTGGGGATCAGCGACAGGGCCTTCTCAGTGGTGGCCCCTTGGCTGTGGAGCTCCTTCCCCAGTGATATTCGATCAGCTTCCTCTCTTCTGGCCTTCAGAAAGAAAGTTAAAACATGGCTATGGTACCAAGCTTTTGGAAAATAACTGCAGTGAAATAAATGACCAAATAATCTGTGAAGTGACTATTGGAATGACCCTCGACTACAACTTTGGATTATGTGATTTTAATAATTGATGTAACTGTTTTTAGATGTTTTAATTCTCTGGTTTTTAATGTAGATATTTACCAGTTGTGTGTTATTTTAAGGCATTGAATTGTTGCCAATACGTGAGGCCACTCTGAGTCCCCCTTGGGGTTGAGAAGGGCGGGATACAAACATGATAGATAAATAAATAAATAAAAATGGACTGGGTTGGCAAGGGCAACCCACTTCTGAATAAATCTTGCTGGGAAAACCCCACAATAGGGTCAGAATGAGTTGGATTCAACTTGAAGGCACACAGCAAACAATATAATACTGAGTTTTTTCTTCCTTTCAGACAAAGATGCTCTGTCTTTCCTGACTCCAGACATACCCACTTCAGATAACTTTGACAAGTTGCTTGAAGAATTTAATGAGGATGCTTTTGATCTTACCTTGAGAGTCAAATTGGATGTTCGGCGTGCCACAGATGCCGGCAAAACCTCCAGATACCAAGTAAAGAGGAAAACCTCTCGCATGTATCAGCTATAATAGGAGCATGGTCATTAAAGTTGGGCAAGGGCCATTAAAATGTGAATGTTAAACTAGCAACACAGGGCTCTTTTCTTACATATTAAAATGCAACCCTTGTGTTTTCTCTTGACAGTACAAGGATCCAATTCAGACTCCAGAGGGGTTCTTAAGGCTCCCGGCACCTCTCTTCTTTTCCTGGTGCACTCACGACAACCCTGCAGGTGAGAAGAGAGAGCCCTCCCTTTTGCAGGGCTCTTTCCAACCCATAGTTTTAGCATGCCCCTTTCAACAGTTGACACTAGATACTCTTCAAACAAGTTGTACACTTTTTAGGAAATAGGTTTCTCCTTGAGATTAAATCTAGTCGTGTCTGACTCTGAGGGGTGGTGCTCATGCCCATTTCTAAGCTGAAGAGCCGGTGTTGTCCGTAGACTCCTAGGTCATGTGGCTGGCATGACTGCATGGAGAGTCATTACTTTCCCTCCAAAGTGGTACCTATTGATCTACTCACGTTTGCATGTTTTCAAACTGCTAGGTTGGCAGAAGCTGGAGCTAACAACAGGAGCTCACTCTGTCCCGCAGATTTGAACCGCCGACCTTCCGGTCAGCAAGTTCTGCAGCTTAGCAGTTTAACCCGCTGCGCCACCGCGGACCCTTTGTAGGAAACCAGTTGTTTATATTCAATATTTGGGCTGGAAACATAAACCACATTTACGTTTGCTTCATGGATATGCGCATGGGGAGCTCTACAAAAGCAGACCTCTCTTGTTTTGACACTAGCCTCAAAATTGATGCGTGCCAATCTGTGAAAATCTTTCCGGCACTTAGTAATTGTGTTTTTGCGGCTTTTCTAGGGTTTCTAGTGAACCAGGCTATCAAGTGCAACACAGCGATCCAGGGGAGAGAATGCACCACTCTTCCTGCCCTCAGCATGGCGTTCTACGCCAATTTGAGTGTTTTAGCTGTAAGTGTTCCTTGTGGGAATGCACTGAAAAAATAGCATTTTGTTTGTATCAAATCAAGACATGGACTAAGAAGTGAGGATTGTGCTTTTATTTACACAGTAACTTGCAACCGTGGGTATACCTCATATTTACTGGACCCTCCCCCCCCCCCCTCCACACACCCCCATCTCTTGCCTCAGTTCTGTGGCAAAAAGCCTTGACATTATAGACTGGAGGCTAAGCCAAGTTTTGGTGGAAAAAAGAGGAAGGCTGTATCTGAAGTGCTTCTTTTTCCTTTATATTCCCACCAGGTCCCGAATTCAAGTAAAATGGTAGGTGTCCTTTTGTTCTGACATTGAGAGAGTTGGCGTTAATATGTGGGCATCTTGTATTTTGGTTCGCAGTCTCTTTCCAGGCTCAGTTCACCGTTAAGGAAGCAGTAAATAATTAGTTAGTTGTATTTAGCAATGGATTAATTTTTGTGGATTAATGGTAAAATTCAGGGATTGACCATACAGTGCAAAATCCTGTATGCGTTATGTACTGATCAGGTGGCACCTTGGTGAGGAAGGCACACTCTCTCAGCCTCAGAGGAAGGCAGTGGCAAAGCCCCTCTGAACCAATCTTGCCAAGAAAACCCTGGGATAGGCTCACCTTAGGGTCATCGTAAGTCAAAAGCAACTTGAAGGTACACAAATTAGAGTTGTATCAGAGAAAGACATTTTAATATGTTTATTTTAGATTATGTATTTTGAGCTATGTTGTGCCTTGCGTCGGAAAGTTGGGTAAATAATAATAATAATTATCATCATAGGAAGGCATGGGCAAATCCCCCTGAATAAATTTTGTGACTAGGATAATTATTATTATTATTTGATACACAACAAGATTAGTACACAGCAAACAAGATCACTATGCTGGCTGTTGTATTGGATCACATGTTGGACATTTCCGAAGTGTCTAAGACTGTGATGTACCAGCGAATAATGCGTGCAGATCTGAGTAAGATGGCCTTTTGCAGCTGACAGATGGTAATTTGGTCAGCGCCGATTGTTTTTAAGTGCAGGCCAAGGTGTTTAGGTACTGCACCCAGTGTGCTGATCACCATTAGGAGCCCCTTTATTGGCTTGTGCCAGAGTGTTTGCAGTTCAGTTTTTAAATTCTCATGTTGTGTAAGTTTTTCCAGTTGCTTCCCATCCATTCTGCTGTCACCCGGGATTGCAACATCGACAATCCGTACCTGGTTTTTCCCCACGATCATGAGGTCAGGAGTATTGTGCTCCAAATCTCTGTCAGTCTGAATTCAGAAATCCCTATTTTCTGCATTATTATTATTATTATTGTTATTATTATCCTAATTGAATTTTGATTTTCACATTTAGATTTCAGCGGATATACTGAGCTCAAATCAGCTTTGATTTGTGTAACTGTCCTTTTTTAAAAAATAGCAAAAAACGTCTTTCCAAAATGCCAATGTCTGTAGCAGGAGGGGAAGAAGAATCTGTATTATGGTTAGCATAGTCAACAAAGGGGTACCATATGATGCAAAATGGTCTCCGTCTGTTAATTTCCTGTGTATTGCAGGACATGTTCACTTTCCCATCAGTGTTCCAAGTCCCACACTGGTTTCATCCAGTTTTCCATAGAAACTATATTCATGGGGTCCCCCCCCCCAAATGAATTTGAAAATTTCTTCTGTGGGTCGTAAAAATGCCAAGATTATCCTACGTAGAAGACAGTGAGCATCAGCACTGACATTTAAGTGAAATGTGCTCTGTCTTTTGCTAAGGCTGCGGGATTACATTATCATAATCATTGTTATTATTATTGTTATTCTATTTTCAGGTGAATGTCACCATCCAGTCCATCACTGTTCAGATGCTGGGTGGACTGCGGACCCGTCTAAACAAAACTGATGTCCTGATGCTCCCCACATTGCATCCCCAGTCATGCAGCAATGTGGTGCTTGAGGTAGCCGGCCCCCACCCATTCCAACTTTCTGTTTAGTGGAAAACAAAGAGGAGAAGCTAATCTTCAATTCTTAGAAACCGATTATCCATAGGTCTATGAGCAACGGTCTCATTGAAATGAAAACCTGGGCCAAGTGAGCCTCCCATGAAAGGGAATTGCACAACTTGGGTGCAGCCACCAAGAAGGCTCTCCTTCATTTTCACCAAACTCACCTGTGAAGAAAAAGTCTTCCTCCTGAAGATCGTAAAAATTGGGCAAGCAGTTGGGTGGTGTAGTTTTGTCAATATGCTGGACCTCAGCTGTGTAGGCTTTAAAGGCAATTGGAAACAGATGGGCAGCCAGTGAAACTTGCATGTTGTCTAAGTGGTGTAACTTTATTTTTGGAAAATGTAAAGAACTAACGGAAGATGAGATTATATCCTGAGTCTCCCAAAGCTAGATAAAAAGGGACTTTTGTATCTCAGCACATGGCAGGTCACTGAATCTTAGTACAAACACAAAACAATCTATGCGTAATGTCAAAGTGTATTATCAAGAAAACATATAATATTCTATTTACCAAAATCCCCAGTACAAAGCTCAATTCAGTGGTACACAGAAATCAAAAGGAGCAACCGCTCTCAAACGTAACCGTTCTGGGTTTGGATAGGGATTCCACTGTGTATAGGCTTCAGGGATACATTCAATGCAAAAAGTCATATAAACAAAGTAAGTATAGAGTCATGAGGCTATATGTAAGCTGAAGACAATAATGAAGATGAAGCGTCACTCTCAAAACAATCTTCATGGAAAAGATCCAACTCAAGTCCAGTGAAAAATGGAGCACTGCTTCTCAAAATAAGTCTTCAAAGAAAAGTCCCAATGGCATTCTACAGGGGTGCCCGGGTATTTTTGTACCCTGTTTCGGGGAAAGCAATCCCCTTCCTCAGGAGTTGATAAATTCAGCAACTCTAGACTCTTATCTATAACAAAACATAACATCACATAGAGTAACAAGTATTTTCCAGCACAATTACAGTAGTGAAGATAATGGATACATCAAACATATAACATATACTCACATCATGCCAAGTAGCTAATACAAAAAGTGACTCTGCTAGAAGTAAATTCACACTGCGAGTAATTCTGAAGGGTCATCCACAGGTTTATAAAGAGTAATCAGAAACTTAAAGGAAACAGCTCAAATTAAGTGACTCGTTAAGTCCTTGAGGGGAAAGGGTTTTCAACTTAAAGATCCAGAACATTTCCCTTTGGGATAATATTTCTTCCAAATTCATATGGGGTTTTGGTGTGATGCATTCCAGAGCACAAAATTTGAGGGAATTGGATGAATGTTTGTGTTGTGTAAAGTGTGAATATAGGAGGGACTCCATAGATAAACATTTTATTCTAGATTTATGTTCAGAAATTCTAATTCTCAGAGGTCTTGTTGTTTTTCCAATATACCATAAACCACAGTCACATGTTAGAAGGTAGATAAGATTACTGCTGTTACAATTGGAAAAATGTTTGAGCGTGGTGCCCACTTTGTTCCTATAGTTGAAACATTTTTCCAATTGTAACAGCAGTAATCTTATCTACCTTCTAACATGTGACTGTGGTTTATGGTATATTGGAAAAACAACAAGACCTCTGAGAATTAGAATTTCTGAACATAAATCTAGAATAAAATGTTTATCTATGGAGTCCCTCCTATATTCACACTTTACACAACACAAACATTCATCCAATTCCCTCAAATTTTGTGCTCTGGAATGCATCACACCAAAACCCCATATGAATTTGGAAGATATATTATCCCAAAGGGAAATGTTCTGGATCTTTAAGTTGAAAACCCTTTCCCCTCAAGGACTTAACGAGTCACTTAATTTGAGCTGTTTCCTTTAAGTTTCTGATTACTCTTTATAAACCTGTGGATGACCCTTCAGAATTACTCGCAGTGTGAATTTACTTCTAGCAGAGTCACTTTTTGTATTAGCTACTTGGCATGATGTGAGTATATGTTATATGTTTGATGTATCCATTATCTTCACTACTGTAATTGTGCTGGAAAATACTTGTTACTCTATGTGATGTTATGTTTTGTTATAGATAAGAGTCTAGAGTTGCTGAATTTATCAACTCCTGAGGAAGGGGATTGCTTTCCCCGAAACAGGGTACAAAAATACCCGGGCACCCCTGTAGAATGCCATTGGGACTTTTCTTTGAAGACTTATTTTGAGAAGCAGTGCTCCATTTTTCACTGGACTTGAGTTGGATCTTTTCCATGAAGATTGTTTTGAGAGTGACGCTTCATCTTCATTATTGTCTTCAGCTTACATATAGCCTCATGACTCTATACTTACTTTGTTTATATGACTTTTTGCATTGAATGTATCCCTGAAGCCTATACACAGTGGAATCCCTATCCAAACCCAGAACGGTTACGTTTGAGAGCGGTTGCTCCTTTTGATTTCTGTGTACCACTGAATTGAGCTTTGTACTGGGGATTTTGGTAAATAGAATATTATATGTTTTCTTGATAATACACTTTGACATTACGCATAGATTGTTTTGTGTTTGTACTAATATCTTACAAGTACTCTGGGATATTGTGTAGTAGGTCACTGAATCTTCCATTTTGTTCTTCTCCTGTGAGCATGGAGAGAGACAGGATGTCTCCAGACAGCCAAATAGCTAGATAGCAAAGCCCTTACTTTCCTATATTTTGGGAAATGGCATTTATAACCTTTTGGAAATACACCGTTTGGAGATCATAACTTTTTAAAGAAAAGCATGACCTTTCATAGAAGAGCCCAAAACCCTTTAGAGCAGAATCTTCTCTTGTGGTATAAAACCAGATGCAATTATGCAAGGCAATGGTTTCAGTTGTTAGACTGAATAACCTGTTATCTCTGATCTGTTACGAAAACAGAGATTTTCCAGTGCATAAAAACAGCAGTGCTTCAGAAGTGTTTTTCAGTGCCCAAAATATATATACTGTCCCATAAAAACACCTTGTTTTATATAATGCACTCAATAAACAAAAATGAAGTAGACTTTGATGGAAATGACATATTTGGTTTACTCACAACCTTCCTGTGTTCTGCATACACTTATCAGTCCAGTTTCAAGTATTTTTGAGATGGTTCCCTGTGCTAAACGACCAGGAGGAACCATAAAGGAAGCTGCATACCAGAACATGCATACAGGAAACAGTAAGCAACAGGATCATAGATAAACAGTACTATAGAAGGCTTGAAGAAGGTTTCCAACACTATATAGTAGTAGTAGTAGTAGTAGTAGTAGTAGTAGTAGTGATGCTTATTTATATTCTGCTCTATCTCCCTGAGGGGACTCAGAGCGGATTACAACATACACAGGTAGGCAAACATTCAATGCCTTTAATACAGTGAAATAACAATGACACAGAAATACACAGAACAAAGGTAAAGGTTTCCCCTTTCATCTCCAGCTTCTGGAGGTGGTGCTCAACTCTGGCCATGGGGAGGTGCTCTTGTTCCATTTCCAAGCCAAGGAGCCTGTTGTCTGTAGATACCTCCTGGTTGCATTGCCAGCATAGTTGCATGGGCACCTTTATTACCTTCCCGCCAAAGCGATGCCTATTGATCTCAAATTTGCATGTTTTTGAACTGCTAGGTTGACAGGAGCTAGGGCTATCACTGGAAGCTCATCCCGACCCGCTGCTTCAAATTGCCAACCTTCAGGTCAGCAGCTCAGCAGCACAAGGGTTTAACCCATTGTGCCAACCGTAGTTCTTTCAATAAAGTCTTTTGTAACTTTTAAGGCTTGACTGCTCCTGTAATTGAGGAAGCTCATTTGCTCTACTGCTGTGCTCAAGAACATTCTGATCTGTTAAACTGCTGCTGTTGCTGCTGATTTACATTTTTAAATGCTTTCTCCTTTTTGAAATTACCCAACATTCTCTGTCAACAGTCTGGCATCACAGTTTTGGACCCAGTGTGGTGTCCAAACAGTTTCTGAAAGCAGCCCCACGTAAAATTGCATCCCTTGGAGATGCAGCTTTTAGACAAAACTTTCCAGGATGGAAAATCAAAATATGATAAGGTTAAGATATGTAATCTCATTTTCTCTCTTTGTGAGAGATGTGAACACAACCTATGGTCTCTAGTGAATTGTCATTCTAAAAAAGTAGGTGATTCCACATTCCCACATCTTCCAGGGGGCTTTACGTGCCCCGTGTTCTTTGTGTTTGCAGGCCAATTACCTCACAACGTTTACAGAGGCAGGGGAAATAACTGGCGTGACTGTGTCTTTGGTCCTGGGGACCATCAATGCAACGGCCCTTTTTGTTCAGCAAATCTTTGGGATCCATTTTACTCAGGTAACTTTTTTTTTAAAAAAAAATGACACTTGGGAGGGGGCATTATACAACCCTGCAGTTCAGATTTGGCTGTGGATGATGGGCATTGCAGTCCAAGGAGGGCTGTCTGCTTTCTACCCTGCTTTGGTAGGCATTGCAGCTTTCTCAAGAGAATAGGAGAGTTCAATGGCCCATGTTTAATATTCCCTCCAGGTTATTTCTTCCTTCATAGCCCCAAAGTTGAAAATAGTTAGTTCTTGTGTATTTATTTATTTACAGTATTTATATTCTGCCCTTCTCACTCCGAAGGGAACTTAGGGAGGAACACAGAACGTACATATGCGGCATACATTCAATGCTGTTTATACACAGACAAGACAGACAATTGTACATAGGAAGAGAGGTGTGTGTGTGTGTGTGTGTGTGTGTGTAGGCTTTTCCCATCTTTGGAATCTTGGACACTTGTGCTCGGTTCCGGCCATGAGGGGGTGCTGACGCTCCACCTCCCTGCCGAAGAACTTTGTTCATAACTCCCTCCTTTTGATCTAATTGCTGGTATTTTTCTGGCATTTCCTTATGGGTGCCATAAAATACCTTCCCACTATTAAGTGGTACCTATTGATCTACTTACATTTTGCTTTCAGACAGCTAGGTAGGCTGAAGCTGGGCTAAAGGCCAGGAGCTCACCCTGACCCGTGCTTGTAACTGTCAGCCTTTTGACTGTGTATCTTTCTTAGACCGTAGAAGCAATGGTTTAATAATAGTTCAGATATAATAGCCATTATTCATTTTTGCTTTTGCCTTTTTTTAACAGCAAGATACTCAGCCGATTCCTCTGAGCGGAAGCCCTGGGTACTTGGTGGGACAACCAGTAAGGGCTGGATTTAGGTCAACCAGATATCCTTTTTGTCCTTATTCATCAAGCAGTCGATTTAAAGGACCAGTGATAGAAACGGTCTGAGAACCTAGGTAGACGTTGCCAGTCGATCCTGGACCCTCAGTGTGGAAAATATGGTTTTTTGAGGATTATGACTCATGGATCCCATGCATGCTGGCAGTTTCTGGGATCTATAGTCCAAGACAGGAACGTTTCCAGCCTCAAAGATGGCACAGTATACTGACTTGATAAAAAGTACTCACATCCCACACAAAGGCCATTTGACCCTTTCCTTAACTCTGGGCCTTTACCTCTGGAGTCATTCAGAGTTTAAATGAAAAGGGCCAGCTCACCATCCTGAAAAGCACCCCGGCCCAGGATTGCTTGGCTGTGGAAGGTGTTCGAACCCCTGTCTTGTTCGGGTACAACATGATGTCTGGGTGCCAACTACGGTAAGGGGCAGACGTGAGCTTTTCATCAAGACAGGGCAGTTTGTCACCCTTATTTTGATACTGAAGAATTGTAAACATGTGGTTTGGATACGGTTGGAGCGAATCCCTAGCTCATGTATAGGTAAACTAACTTGCGGGCGGGAGCAGGGTGGGTGGGTGGGTGGGTGGGAGGGAAGGAAGGAAGGAAGGGAAGAGGGATGAAGGAGGGAAGGAAGGACAAAAGGGTGGAAGGGAAGGAGGGAGGGAGAAAGAGGGAGGTAAGGAAGGGAAGGATAGGGTGGTGTGAGAGAGGAGGGCCTGAGAAAAGACCCCAAGGGGCTGCATCCAGCCCCTGGGCCTGGGTTTGCCCATACCTGCCCTAGCTTATTGCTTAGCAAGATGCCAAAGGGCATACCTATTAAAGGTTGCCATCTTGAATGACTTCTTTGTATAACTGGGACTACTGGGATTATTTTCTGAAAGGATAACAAAGGACTCCAACTGTGAGCTGTTGGCTCCAGCCGTGCTGACCATGCTGAAAGGTCCAAACTTTCCAGACTCCATCGCCTCTTTTGGGGATTCTCTACCCCAAAATGGACCAGATTGGATTGAGATTATAAATAATTTCACCAAGCCGGTAAGAGTACATTGAGCATTGCTTCAGTCAATGTGACTGTCTTCCTTTCCCCTGAGCATTGTCCTGGAAGAGAAGCCCCCTTAAGGGCCTGGCCTCATATTTTTCCTGGGCTGGAAAATCCAAATTATTCTTCCCTTGTCCCAACTGACATTGACTTAGGTGCATAGATCCAAAGTTAGCCATTTATATTTGCTTTAAATTTGATTATCAGCAGGCATTTGGGGGAGGATGAGCAGCGTGTTACTGGGGAGGGTGTGTGTGAGTTTGAAACATAATTTAAATAGTATTTATTATGTCTTCATTGTATTTTATCATCATAGCCACAGAGTACTATTTAATATAATAACAACAACGACAATAATAATAACAACACTTCTTTTGGCCATAAATGGGTGAAAACAGAGTGGTTCCTTATACTTCGGGACCTTGTAGCTCCATTTGCAACAGTAATATTGTATAAGGCACATTCATGTTGCCATCTTCTGAATAAACTGTAGCTTATCTCTCTCAAATGTGATACTCCTGTGCCAAGTTTTTTGCACCCTTTCCAGATTGAAAGCCCCTTTGTCCCGTCAGGAGGTTAACATCCACAGTGCACAAAAGGGCTTGCAATCTGTAAAGGGTACGAATACTGCATTTCTTTCATAACCCCCCCCCCCCCCAAGCCAAAAAAATACCAAAAGACATTTTTTGGCTGGAAATTTTTTTTTGAAAATTGGCGTTTCTGTGCTCAAGTTCCCTTCATGGCAGGAGGGAGAAACATAATCAAATGAAGAAGTCGTCCTTACCAGAATAAAATAAATGCCATGCTTTGTAACTCACAGAATATCTTCCTCTCTCTTTTTAGAGCACCTGCGAAATCCCCATTTCGTTTGAATTTCAAGTGCAGTGGACTAAATACGGCTCCTTGGTGAACCCCCAGGTTAAAATCGTGTGCCTCACGGCAACAGTACTGACATCTGCCTTGCCCCAGGTGGGTGGCAATGGACGGCAAAGGGAGGATGCGCTGTGATTCGGGGTGTATTTTTAACTAAATGAGCCTTGCTCCAAGCCTGCGAGGCCCTGCATTGTACAGGAGACAGATGTCTGGCGCATGAAAGTGGCATTTCTAAAGGAGATTGTGGCGCATTGCAGAAACGATCAGGCTTCAGCTTCAAAGGTGGTCTCGAGCCGTCTGCCACCGCGGAGGTGTGCTTTTGGGATTCCCTGCGGATGGGCCTGCCTCCTTCCTCTTTGGGGTTGGCACAGTAACTGTATACACCCAAAGGCCGCCTGTTGTCAAGGTGGGAGGAAGAGGAGATAGGTGCAGGCTGTGTAGGAAACCACTGAGATCTTTGCCCAGACAGAGAAAGGAAGAGACTGTGGGGCCCCTTCCAACTCCAATTACTCCCTCAATTCAGCATTTAATATATTTACAGTGCTCTTACTTTTCTCCCAGCATGAGATCTAAGCCAGCTCACAGTCTGAGTAAAAACATAGTTGAAACACTGAAGTACATGAAAGTGGAAAAAATATACCGTATATACTTGAAAATAGGCTGAGTTTTTCAGCCCTTTTTTAAGGCTGAAAAAGGGCCCCTTGGCTTATATTCGAGTCAAGCTAGAACCTGTGTGGGGGTGGGTGTCTGAAGGAAAAAGGCTCTCGCTCAGAGGCCGGCTGAGCGCCATGCAGTGGGTCGGAGGAGGAGTGGCGGTGTCTCCTCCGGCCCCCTCCTTCAGAAAGGAGGCGATCCTGCAGTCCCCAAGAACAAGCCGATCCTGCAGTCCCCAAGAACAAGCCGAGAAGGAAGAGAGAGGCCTGACAGTCAGGGAGAAGAAGGCAGATCAAACACTGGGGGAAAATAGGCAGAAAAGGGCAAGGAGGAAAACAATGGAGGGAGACACCAGATGACGAGGGAAGAAGGCAAAGAGGCTGCCAAACAAGAAAGGAAGCAAACAGGTCCAAGCAGCCAGGCAGCGGCAAAAGTCAAGAAGGAAGGCAAGGAAGGCGGCAGCATGGCCCTCTGGATCAGGCTGGGCTGGGGAGGGATGGGCAGGAGGGAAAGGCTCCCTTCCCCGACCAAGCAGCAGAGCCTCCCCCCCCTCCTAGCTCAGGCCTCTTTCTCCCTCTCCTCTCCCTCTCTCTGCCAACAGGGCAGACAGGCAGGCAGGCTACTCCCAGAGAGTCAAAACAAAGGTGCCTGGAGAAAATCCTGCTGGAGAAACTTCAGCTAACCTTAAAGGGGAATCGCCAGTGCAAGGAGAGTCTCCTTAAAGGGGAATTGCCATAAAAAAACAAAAAAACAACCTGCCACAGATTCAGTGCCATGGAATCACAAGAGTTGTAGTTTTATAAGGTCCTTAGCCTTCCCTGCTTAAGAGAGCTGGTACCATACCAAACTACAACTCCCAGTTTTCTATCAGAATATTTTGAATTTCAATTTTCACAATTCCTAACACCAGGCATAGACAAAGTTTAACCATGCCTGGTAGAGAAGCATCCTACACTTCTTCAGGGTACATCAACAGTACTGTAGGAAAATACAAAAGGCTCAGTTCTGTTGAGCACAAACCCCCATCACCAGATATGTGTCTGGAAAACTAACAGAAATGTTCTAAGATGGTTTAGCTTTTGGACATATCCATATTTTATAATAGCAGGAGAAATTAACCCATTTCCAGACATGCCAACAATGTGTGTATTAAGTGGGAAAATCCTGAGCGCTTTTTCCTTTAATGCTAAAAGTTGCATTTAGAGTAGACTTTGGCCCTCCAGGTGTTTTGGACTTCAACTCCCACAATTCCTAACAGCCTACTGGCTGGGTTGCTGAGAGTTTTCCAGACTGTATAGCCACGTTCCAGAAGCATTCTCTCCTGATGTTTTGCCCACATCTATGGCAGGGATCTTCAGAGGTTGTGAGGTCTGTTGGAAACTTGGCAAGTGGGGTTTATATATCTGGGGAAGGTCCAGGGTGGGAGCAAGAACTTTTAATACTGGGAGCCAGATTTTGTTCATTTTCATGGTTTCCTCTTTTCTGTTGAAATTGTCCACATGCTTTTGGATTTCAATGGCTTCTCTGTGTAGCCTGACATGGTGGTTGTTAGAGTGTTCCAGCATTTCTGTGTTCTCAAATACTGGCTGTTAGGAATTGTGGAAATTGAAGTCCAAAACACTTGGAGGGCTAAAGTTTGCCCATGCCCGATTTAGATCCATCTCCAAAAGGGTATATTCATCAAGCCCTTTGGGCATGACCTTGGAAATATCTGGTTGCAGTGCAAAATCTTCTCAAGTGTTGGGTTTTGGAAGCTGCAAAAGATGGCTTTAAGGCAACTTCTGTCCCCTCAGCTTACCAGTAGCTGCTGCATTTCCCACCCCCGGCTTATACTTGAATCAATAAGTTTTCCCAGTTTTTTGTGGTAAAATTAGGTGCCTTGGCTTATATTCGGGTCGGCTTATACTTGAGTCTATACAGTAAGTAAAGAAGCCATCACACGGAAAATATAACAATAACTTTGGCAAACCAGTTAACGTTATAATGATAGTAACGGTAGAAATGCCAGTGCAACACATTGCAATTTCAAAGGCCTTCAACTGGAAATTAATCCTCAAACTTCTGGAGATACAGAAAGGGGGGGGGGTGAAGAGGGGGCCCACTTAGTTTCCTGTGGGAGGGGAAACAGCTCAAGGAAATCACCTCCTCCTTTCTGTTTTCAGGTGGGGCCAGGAAACGAGAGCACCATCCAGATACACACTATTGCAACTTTTGTTGATGTCTCTGCACCAGCCAAGCCGGGTTACAAAGCTCTTCCAAGCATCGAGGCCAGTCTGCCCTTTGACTTTTTCTTTCCATTTGTTTAGGGCAGGGGCCCACGTCCCACTCCTTCAAGCCATAACCCCAACAGTGCAACCACATATCCCTCTTCCTCTATTCCAGCCTAAGGTGGCAACTGGTTTTTCTCTGCTACCAAACACAGCTATTCTCCCCAGATCGGTATGATGGTACTTTGTATTTAGTAATGGGTCACAAAGGGCTTCGGACTAAGAGGTGGTAACAGCAGGAATCCCAAAGGAAGAACAACAACCACAAAGCCATGTCCAATAGAAAGTTTGGAGAAAGACTTCTCTTCAAAGAGATCTGCTTCTCTGGGTGCCACCGCTTTTGACATACAGCTCAGGGAAACTAACAAAATCCGTCCTTTTATATGAGTTCAGCTTTTTAAAGTGATGTTTATTTATTTTCACACTGTACAGCTGTACAATTAAAGATTGGAATAATTAAGTCTTCCAGCTTGTGGACTGGTTTGACAACACTGATAAAAGGTTGGGGGAGGGGGGGGGAGCCAAGGACACAGAAGAAAAGGCTTACCAACAAGGCAGGGAATGTACAAAAGGAGATTTTCAAAATGTCACAGTATAAAGCGGGGGAGAGAAATAGCTTTTCGACACCAGGACTCCTTTCCAGGAACGGCATTCAAGCCCAGGAGAGTCACGACCAGGCATCTATCTGAGCTGGGTGAGAAGGCCATGTTGTTTTAGTAGGTTGGTCAGCCTTTCGATTTCTATCTCCTGGAGGAAAAACACAGTTTTTTTTTCAGTCAGTTGTCAGTTTTCTGCACAGTACCTGATCTCCTACTTCCTCACAAATAGCTGTTAGTTAGGAAAGAATCTTAAGGAAAGAAGAAACCTCTCAGTTGGCAATGTTCCCTGTCAAACAGCTTTTAGAGAAACGAGAAGGCTGATCTACTCAGAACCTGGAAACTGACTTACAGCCAGCAAGACTGTTTCCACAAGGGCAAAGCACATTAAAGACGTTCCTGGTGACTACTTTTATATCCTGTTGGTGCCATTTATAATCCCTCTAGCTTTAGCAGGGTCAGACCCTGGGTAGTGCCTGCTTTACCTTCTCTGTGCAATTGCCTTCCAGCTGTTGGACCTTCACAGTGAGCTGCAGGTTGGCTTGCTTCAGCTTAGAGACATGCTGTTCAGACCGCGTCTTCACGGACAAAATGATCCCTGCAGATGGATTCCGAGGACAAGAAATTATGATTTACAGTTAGCTAAGCTTCAACAATCACTTCTATTATTGTTCCAATTTGAAGGCAAGCTGTCTGCTAGGCATATTCTACCCATTTCACAGATACAGGAACAGAAGTCTGAGAGATAGGTGACATTAGGGAGATGGAAACTTCCGAGGTCCAAGTCTGGGTCTTTTGGTTGGGGCTCAAAAAAGGATTGGGGTTTTTAAGGCTCCATGTTTTGATATCCTTCCTTTGTTAATGGAAGGCACAACTAATGAACTATTGATGTAGTGGAGAAGCTCAAACTGGAATGACTGAGGCCGAGGGGACAGAATCAAAACACACAAACCAAAATGAAATGGTCGGAATAAACAGTGTTTCTGGCCAGGCACCAAAGGAATTGAGAAAGGGATTTACAGGACACGGAGTTGCATCTTGACTCCATCCTGTCTTTCAGAGACTCACCGTTGATAATCCGGGCCACGCGCCACAATCGCAAGAGGATCAGCAACCCGAGGGCTTCAAACTCGTGTTCCCGGAACAGGAGGACAATGTCAAGGACAAAGGAGACAATGACCACAATGGCATCCAGGACTTCAAACTTGTGCTTGAAGAACTCTAGGCGGTAGGCAAAGAGTTTGAAGCTCACTTCCACCAGAAAGAGGGTCAAAATGGAGAGGCTCAGGTAGTGGAAGACCTGGGGGGGTGGAAACAGCGACACCCAGAATCCCCCAGTCAGCCAGAATTCGGAGAGCTGTAGTCCAAACATCTCTCTGCTTTCTGAGATTTTAGCAGGTATCTACAACCACCACATCCTTTTTATTTTTTCCCAACTAGTGTCCTCCAGATGTTTTCAACTACAACTCCCATCAACCCTAATTGACAAGATCAAGGGAGATGACATCCAAAGCAGTCAGAAAAGCAACCGCTTGGGAAAGCCAGCATGAATGAAGTCTTAGACTGTTTTTCATGTTCTGAATTTCAAATAGCAGAGATTGCCGTTATCATCAGCTACATAGAGATCTTACACTATAGGTATTTATACCTGGCCCATATATGAGAGCAAGAGAGACATTACAAAACCTGTCCACATATGCAGAATAGAAGTCGGCTTCCTTTTAAAAGGAGTGGCTTTTTGCCATGCTGGTGCCCTCCAGCCAGGTTAGGCTACAAGTGCTTCTAAACCCAAACCTACATTCCTCCCACTTTTTTTTAATGGTTACCTTAGGCACAATCTCGCCTTTGTCTGGATGGATGATTTTTAATTCCAAAAGCAGTTCCCCCAGCACCAAGATGGCATCCGCGATAACTAGGCCAACAATCAAGATCTGGAATGAAGAGGGGAGGGGAAAAGAAAACAGGGTTAACCCTAAGTAACAGAATCTTTGGAAACTGCCTCGACCTGACTTGATGCTTAGGACATTTGTCCCTCACGTTCAGTGTCTCTCCCCTCATCAATAAGCTGTGGTTGAAACTGTTAAAACAGAGAACTAGAGCAAATACCGCAACCTCTCAACACACATTTCCTTCCTTGAGGAACCCACAAAAAGTTTTTTGAGGAGGGAAGATAAAAGCCTAAGGGAGTGAACACATCTCCATCCAGGAAAAAAGTATCCAATGTTGCGACAAGGAATCCTATTTTTTCCATAATCAAACTCAAGGTGATATGAGAAGTTCTTAAGGAGCGTCCTGTTCCATTGAGGAAACAGTAGAGACCTCTGGTTGCTGCCAGCCAGAGGATAGAGCATCCGACTTGATGGACAAATCAGTCTGATTTCTCATAAAGCCAATGTCTTGTGTTCACAGAGATGCAAGACATTGGTCTGGCCTTGTGCAAACCAAGACAGGAGACTGCACAAAGCAAGAACAAAACCCACTCAGAGAACATATCTCTTGTACCTGAAATTTGTGCGACTGGAACAGCTTCTTCATCACATCCCGGAAGGATGGGGGCCTTGGCGGGGAATCCACCTTGATGGCTGCATCGGGCGCTTTGCCTTCCCCTTCCTCCTCCATGTCTTCTTCCTCCCATTTCTTGTAGTCGTTGTTCCACTGCGCGGGGTCGTCCCCCACCACGGTGAAATGCTTCAGGTACATAGACATGGTGGCAGTAGCGGTGGTGCTCTCACAGGGGCATCCCCCAGTTCAAAAGGAGCTGGAAAAGCTGGTCACCTGTAAAGAGGGGCATTCCTTACTGTAAGGCAAACTCTATTGTTTTCAGCTTAGCTTGCTCAAAGAAACAATGTAAGCGCCATGATGCCACCTGGGCTTTGTAGTTTGGGGAGACACAGTAATCAGAAGACTGAACCTGAGAAATACTATTCTGCAGGGTTGCTGTGAAGATAAAAGAACTTCCTCCTTTATGCTTCAGTGAGCATCTCAGAGGGGGAACATGCACAAAATTTACCACTGCCCACATGCACAAACTGGAACAGAGTCAATGTTGGTCGATCACAACTGAAGCCCTATTGATTCTAGTGGGCTTACCTGAAGCTTGAAAGACTCTGATAGATGGTCCTGACCAAGTTAATTTGAGAACTACAGAAGCCCCCAAGCAGAAGAGTAGCCTTTGTCCAGTTAGCTGAGGAGATCTGGGAGCTGGAGTCCTCTCAAAATAGCCTTGTCCAAGCTCCATCCATGCTCCGTTAGGGAAACTGGTTGTCAATTATGCTATGTAACACAATTTTTGTTCCTGGGTTATAAATGCCATTTCCTAATTTGGTTCTATCATAAAAACATGGAAAAGGTTTATTAAACTGCAAAAACTTTGTTTTTGTGGGACATCCTGCAGCACATTTTCCTCTAGTTTTTCAATGAATATTTCAACCAATTGAACATATGTGTTGTCGAAGGCTTTTATAGCTGGAATCACTGGGTTGCTGTGAGTTTTCTGGGCTGTATGGTCGTGTTCCAGAAGCATTCTCCCTTAATGTTTCGCCCACATCTAAGGCAGGCATCCTCACAACCTCTGATAATTCCAGCCATAGATGTGGGTGAAACGTCAGGAGATAACGCTTCTGGAACATGGCTATACAGCCCAGAAAACTCACAGCAACCCAGCAATTCAACACAATTTGTGGTAGCCACAAAAACGAAGTTTCTGGAGGAAAACAATTACTTTCATACTAAGCACCACACAATTAAACAGGAAATAACACTTTCATACCAGGAACAGATTTTTTTTCCAATTTTTGTGACAGTGTTACCAACACCCCTAAAAAGAATCTCCATTCTTACCTTTCTTAATCAGTCTTGTCCAGGCAATAGCTGCTGTTGCCCGTTGCTCTGACTAGTGAAGAACAACCCTGTGGAATGGAACAAGAAGAGGACTGATATGTGAGTCGCAAGGGGACTGGTGTTGTTCTGCCAAACGTCTGCTGGCTGTGCAAAAGGAGATGGCAAATGGACCCAAGTTTCCTGTCTCCTCTGTGTTTTTGCATAAGAGATGTCCATGAAGAATGAACGCAACCCCCGCCCCCATATCACTTCCTTCCTGCCTCCCCTCCATAGCCACTCTCGAGCTCTGCAAGGAAAGGGGGAAACTCCGTATTCCTGATTACAGTCAACACGGCGCATGCCAAAGGAAAACGAGCTTTGACGCATTTGTTGTGGGTACGTGCTGCAGGGATGGCTTTGAGGGCAGAGGTGAGGGCTGCTTGGGATCTGATGGGGAAACCATTTGAAACCTTGTGTTTTACGAGCGGGGAGAGGCCCGGGCCTTGCTCGATCTGGCCCAGAGTGCTACCAGATGGTTGCCAAAACGAGTGCTTGTTGGTGCTACTTGAGAGAGAACCTGTTGCAATACAGGATGGTCTGGGGCGGCCGCAGCTGGTCATGGTTGCTTGAAAATCACTTCCAAAGCCTTGCTGGAGAAGCAGCCTTTCTTAAGTGTTCACTCAGATAACCATTTGCTTCGAATCCAAGTCCTATGCGGAATGGCTGAGGAAACAGCATAGCCCGGAGAAGAGAAGTCTGAGCAATAGCTGCCATATCACCCAACAATCTTCCCTTCTCCAGGCTACACATATTTGTCTCCTTCAGCATTCCTCACAGGTCTTGGTTTCCAAACCCCTGGAACAGGTATAGATTTTAAAATCCAAGCAGGAGCAGCAGATGCCAAAAGGTCCGTATTCTCCAGATTCAGGATACCAAAAAAATGCAATTACTCTGAAAATGGTTAGCAATATATCAGGCTACACATCCCACCATCCAACCTTGCTGGCTAGGTGCAGTGGGAGCTGGAGTCCAGTACTGACAAGGTACCAGATTGGAAAAAGTTTCATAGAAGTAATAGTTACAATGTGCCTTCAAGTTGACTATGACTTTTTTTGGAGGGAGGGCATGGTCATGGTCATCATCATCATCATTATTTGGCTATTTGCTTAAAAACAACCTGCCAATCTTTTCAATCTTGCACAAGAGGAAAATTACCCAGAGCCTGACAATGTTTCTGACAGGTTGTCTTGACCCTTTTTTGTCGAAGGCTAGAAAGCTTCTGAATAGTCTTTTTAAAACCCCCTCCTGCTTCCTAATTCTTTGTAACCAAGGTTCTCTCTGGACTTTACAACTTGCCCACGACTTCTGAGTTAAATATTCTCCCCATGCCGTCTTACTGGCCTCACACACAAAAGGAACAATTCAAAAATGACATTTCCAAGGGCAGCCACTTAAATAGCCTCCTTTTGAATTCTGGGCAATTTAGTCATTTCAGAAATAACATTCTCAATGCCTTTTTGAGATGGCAGAATGACACAAAGCATCCAATATCTCAAATGCAGGAAGAAAAAATAATTGGAGGAAAGTTTGGGCAGAAGAGGGAAGACTCTGTTGTATTGCCTACTAGCTTGGGTACCCAGCGTTCCCCGGGTTATTTGAAAAAGTCAGTTTTTTAATTGTACAAAATGCATTAGGTTGTGGATTAACCCCGAGAAACTCCATCAGTACTTAAAGTTTGTTATTGGCCAAGTTTGCTCCAGGTGCATCACTGGTGGGGTTCAGTGTGCGCTCTGGCTGTAGGGGAAACTACAACTCCCACTATGGTGAGTCAGTCCCCTCAAATCTCTCCAGGAGGTTAAGTTAGTCATGGGGGTTCTGTGTGCCAAGTTTGATCCAGGTCTATCATTGGTGGAGGCCACATTTTCTCTGGTAGTGGGTGAACTACATTGAAACTCCCAGAAAGGAACTCCCAGAAAGGAAGGTCAGTTCCTCCCACTCCCCAGTAATCAAATTTCGGCATATCAGGTATGTGTGTCTAGTTTGGCCAAATTCATCAGTGTCTGGGTTCACAGTGCTCTCTGGATGTAGGTGAACTACAACTCTCCCAAATCAAGGTGAATTTCCCTCAAACCCCTCCAGTATTTTTTTCCGGTCATGGGGGCTCTGTGTGTCAAGTTTGGTCCAGATCCATTGGTGTTTGGATTCACAGTGCTCTCTGGATGTATGTGAACTACAACTCCCCCAAATCAAGGTGAATTTTCCCCAAGGACCTCCAGTATTTTTTGCTGGTTATGGTGGCTCTGTGAGCCAAGTTTGGTCCAATTCCATCTTTGGTGAAGTTCAAAGTGCTCATGAATTGCAGGTGTACTATAAATCCCAGTACTCCAAAATGCCCATGCCAATTCTCCTCAAAACCCACCAGTATTCAAATTTGGGCATATTGGGTATGCATGACAAGTTTGGTCCAGATCCATCCTTGTTTACATTCAAAGTGCACCCTGGATGTAGGTGAACTACAACTCTTATAAATCCCTCCAAAGACCTCCAGTATGTTTTTGTTGCTCATGGGGGTTCTGTGTGCCAAGTTAGTTCAAGGTCCATCACTGGTGGAGTTCAGAGTGCTCTTAGATTGCAGGTGAACTATACATCCCAGGACCTACAACTCCTGGGGTTGGTTGATTGGTTTGTGTTGATCATTAATGCATTGCTGGAGCAGGGGATTTTTCCATCTCATCTGAAACAGGCTGTGGTTCGTCCACTCCTCAAAAAGGCCTCCCTTGACTCCACGGTGCTGAACAACTTCAGACCGATCTCCAACCTCCCTTTTTTGGGTAAGGTGCTGGAGTGGGTGGTTGCCTCCCAGCTCCAGGGCTTTCTAGATGACATCAACTACCTAGATCAGTCACAGTCTGGTTTCAGGCCTGGTCACGGCACCGAGACAGCCTTGGTTGCTTTGGTGGATGGCCTCCGTAGAGAGCTGGACAGGGGGAGTATGACTCTGTTGGTTCTCTTGGACATCTTAGCGGCTTTTGATACCATTGATCATGGTATCCTTCTGGGTCGTCTCTCTGGGATAGGTCTCAGGGGCACAGTTTTGTCGTGGCTCCGGTCCTTCCTGGAGGGACGAACCCAGATGGTGAAGCTGGGAGATGCCTGCTCGGACCCCTGGCCTTTGACCTGTGGGGTCCCGCAAGGCTCTATTCTGTCTCCCATGCTTTTTAACATCTACATGAAACCGCTGGGAGAGGTCATCCGGAGTTTTGGAGTTAGGTGCCATCTCTATGCAGATGACACACAACTCTATTACTCATTTCCACCTAACTCCAAGGAGGCCTCTCGGTGCTGGACGAGTGCCTGGCCGCTGTGTCTATCTGGATGAGGAAACAAGCTGAAGATCAATCCCGACAAGACAGAGGTCCTCCTGGTCGATCGTAAACCGGATCGGGGTATAGGGTGGCAACCTGTGTTGGACGGGGTTACACTCCCCCTGAAGCCACAGGTCCGCAGTTTGGGAGTCCTCTTGGATTCATCGCTTACGTTTGAGGCTCAGGCGTCGGCGGTGTCCGGGAGGGCTTTTGCACAATTGAGACTCGTGCGCCAACTGCGACCGTACCTCGCGAAGGCTGATCTGGCCGGGGTGGTCCATGCCTTTGTCACCTCTAGATTGGACTACTGTAATGCGCTCTATGTGGGGCTGCCCTTGAAAACGGCTCGGAAATTCCAACTGGTCCAACGGGCAGCAGCCAGGATGTTAACTGGTGCTCCTTACAGAAAGAGGTCAACCCTCCTGTTCAAGGAGCTCCACTGGCTGCCGTTTATTTTCCGAGCTCAATTTAAGGTGCAGGTGCTTACCTGCAAAGCCCTAAACGGTTTGGGACCATCCTACCTGTGTGACCGCATCTCTGTTTATGAACCCATGCGCTCACTTCGTTCATCCGGAGAGGCCCTGGTCATGATTCCGCCTGCGTCGCAGGTGCGTTTGGTGGGGACGCGAGACAGGGCCTTTTCTGTGGTGGCCCCCTGACTCTGGAACACCCTCCCAAAAGATCTTAGACAGGCCCCTACATTGACAGTCTTTAGAAAGAACTTGAAGACCTGGCTGTTCCGATGTGCCTTTCCAGAATAGGAAACTCCAATAACAAGTCCCAGAAGCACTTTATTAGAATTAAGATTGCTGCACACTGCACACTGCACTTACCCTATAATCCTTACATATCACCTGTCACATTAGGACTTTTAATCCTGTACCCATTACTCTGGCTCGGCCCAGTTTTATAGTGTCTTGATATATTGTTTTTTGCTTGTTGTTTAATATTGCTTTAACTGTTTTTAATTTGCTTTAGGTTTTGTATTGTTATGTTGGGTTTTGAGGCCTTGGCCTTTGTAAGCCGCATCGAGTCCTTCGGGAGATGCTAGCGGGGTATAAATAAAGTTAATAATAATAATAATAATAATAATAATAATAATAACAACTCCTATAAATCAAGGTGAATTCTCCCCAAACCTCTCTAGTATGTTCAGTTGCTGATCAATTCCTCCGTTTCCTCTGTGTCATAGAAAATAACAGGAAAGGGTTAAGGGAGAGGGAGTGGGTGGAATCATGCAAATTCCACACCAATAGAGAGAGTCAGAAACACTGGGATGTCTGTGGTGGAGGAAACACATAAAAACTAGGATGACATTGTCCCCATATTAAAACCCTCACTTGGGTGGTGGGCAGTGTGCTGTTTTTGGAGGACATTGGCAGTGCCCTTGGACATGTTCATGGCGCTCTCTATTACCTGCAGTGTCACTGGAGGGAGCGCATTTGGTGTTTCCTGAGTAGTGGGAGCTAGAGCTGTTTGTGGCGGCAGGAGCTTGTCTGAGTAAGTGGACACCCCAGCCACATACACACATACACATTTTCACTTTTATTATGGGTATAGATAGATTGAATAATCTGGCCGTCTGCGGAGGGGATGGGGGGAATACTAACTAATATGCCTCCAGTGTGATTGAAAAGGGAGCATCACAAGGCCTTTCTCTATCACAGAGACATGAACGTCAGCATGAGGGACTCTTCTCCAAGTTAGGCCACTTTCCTTGTGTCTGTCTATTCTTTTATCTGGAAGCCACTTCCTAATTCTTCCCAAAGCCATTAGTGTTCTTTGTTTTCCTTTGATTGGGAAAGGAGCATCATGGGGCTGCTCTCTAACACAGAGACATGAATGTCAATGTTAGGGACTCTTCTCCCAAAGATAGGTCACTTTCCTTTCAAAACAAACTTCAAACATCCAGGTAAACACAAGTAAAAGCCATGATCAAAACCAGTTGCAGCCCTTCTTTGGAAGAATCCAGGAAACACAAGCTTAACAAACAGATCGGTCTGAAGCAATACGGGACTTCTCCTTCCCCAAAACCTGCCTGACAAACAGCGCAGAAAAAAACAGCGAGGCAGTCTCATATCATATTGGGCCCCGCTATCTTGCTAAACCTTCATTGGCTAAAGGGCCTTCCATCCAATTTGGTCCAAAGTCTTCTCAGCTCCCAATTTGGCAGGGCTGTTCCCATTCATCCTCTGCTGTCCCAATTTTTCAGCAGCTTTAAAATGATCCCATTTTCCTTCCACTGGTTTGTATGTACATCCTTCCTGCTCAAGTGATACCGGATCTCGGCGCTCGTCCAGACCCGTCAAAACTCTCCCTCTCATCCAGCTTCCTTCTTTCGTTTCTTTTTCAACAATCTCTCCCAGGGTATTATTGCTACAAACTGCTTAACAGTCGAAAGTTCCCTGGGTTGTTGGCTTTGAAAAGTTCCCTTTTCTATATTTAAAAGCCCCTCGAGTCTCCTTTATTTGTGGGCATTTCCCAAATGCAAACATGTGAACTTGGTGACTGTTGTGGTAACTGTTACGTCCCACACAAGCTTCCAGACATGACAAAATACGAGACCGGACTGTCTTTTGGACTGCTCTCCAATTCCCTGTCCAAAGCTCCAGAGATCTGCCTTCTCTAGATACCACATTTCCCCTCTTGTTTCTCTCTCTGTCTTATGAGCATATTGTGAAGGGAAAAAGGGACACAAAGAGGGTGCTCCCCCTGCTCTGCCATATATTTCTACCCAATTTACAGCATATTTGGAAGCACAACTATGTGTTTTTTGAAGGCATGAGCTCATAAAGTCTATTGTTGTCAAAAAAGAGGCCTTTTCTGGAGAGTTTAGGCCGATCTTCACGTTAGTCCTTTTTCATCCGCCCTACATACCTCTGCCTGAATGTCATAAGCCAGGAAATGATACACAGCCCTTCAAACACAAGCTGCACCGTCATCCTGACCATCCAGATCAAGCCCCACTACATTCCAACTCAGCCCCATTGCATTGGCTCAAGTGTTCCAATTATTATTATTATTAATATTATCATTATTATCATGTTTATTTATACCCTGCATGACTTAAAGAGCATTTCAGACCAATCCCAAAACATATCTAGCCCATTGAACAAGACAATGACACCTGCATTAACTTTCAGATCCTGTGTACTTTTGAGGGCAGGAGGAAAATATCATGGGAAGGGTCCAAATTATTACATTATATAACAGAATTTGGAAAAAAAATCTGTTCCTAGTTGTAAAGTGTTATTTCCTGTTTAATTGTGTGGTCCTTACTTTGAAAGGTATTGCTATACTCCAGAAAATTTGGTTTTGTGGCTTACATTTTTAACCTTTCAATGAGCCATTTTAATCCATTTGTGCCGACTGCAAAAACACCAAGTTTTTGCAGTTTAACAAACTTTTCCCGTCTGGGTTGCTGTGAGTTTTCCGGGCTGTCTGTCTGGCCATGTTCCAGCAGTATTCTCTACTGATGTTTTGCCCACATCTATGACAGGCATCCTCAGAGGTTGTGAGGTCTGTTGGAAGCTAGGCAAGTGCGGTTTATATACCTGTGGAATGATGTCCAGGGTGGGAGAAAGAACTCTTTTCTGTTGGAGGCAAGTGTGAATGTTGTCACGGGCCAGCTGGATTAGCACTGAATGGCCTTGCAGCTTCAAAGCCTGGCTGCTTCTTGCCTGGGGATCCTTAGTTGGGAAGTGTTAGTTGGCCCAAATTGCTTCCTGTCTGGATTTCCCCTGTTTTCTAGGTGTTCTTCTTTATTCGGTGTCCTTATTTTAAAGTTTTTCCCATGTCTATATGATAGAATCAATTAGGAAATGACATTTATAACCCAGGAAGAAAAACTGCTCCATAGTGTTATGGACAGGGTCAGTGCTGTTATAACCCAGGAAGAAAAATCACATTCCATAGTGTTATGGACAGGGTCAATGCTGCTTGACCTCCTCATGGCTGACCATCTCATAAATTGCTCATTCTGACTCATGCTGATCCTAAAGTGGACCTATCATGGGGTATGCATGGGAAGACTTCTTCCAAAGTGCTTGCCTTTGTCTTTGCCTGAGGCTGAGAGTGTGACCCCCAGTGGGCTTCACTGACAAGGGGGCTCCAAACCTTGATCTCCAGCATCCTAGTCTGACCCTGAAAGTACTGCATCACAATGTCTGTGGATGAGTAGCACAAACACAAACGCAGAGCAACCTTTCAGCCTGAGCAACAGTTGCTCAACTCTTGGGCAATAAACCCTCCTTCCTGTTGTGGGGCCACAGCAGAGAGAGCCTTGTGGTGCCCCACACTACCCTCCTTGTCCTCCAACCATCCTTCAGAGATAAGCATCAGGACCTCATTGTTGTGGGTTCTTTTTTTAAAGATCTGCCTTCAAAGAAACCTACGAAGAGGATCTTTGCTCACTTGCATGATGAGCCACTGCATCAACATCAGTATCACAAAGCGATAGCTTTGTTTGCCTACGTTCCCCTCTGCAGGAGTCAACACGGGACACGTTCCTAAGTCACTTTGCGGTAGTCCAACAAAGTAACTTGTTCAAATGCCGCTTTCAGGGAATCACTCCCTAGCCTCTTCCACCTGGCGATGTCCCGTGATTCAAAATGTGCTCCGAGATGTCCTTTCCTGGGCCTGGCGAGCGTGCGATGGCAACAAGAGGAAGGCTTTCTGTACATGCTCAATGGCAATCCAAAGGAGATCAACGTCTGGCAAATCACATTCTCCTCCTCTTCACCTCTCATTTGCCCAAACCTTCCTGGGGAAGGTGGCCGTTCTCATCCACTCGGGATCCTTTCCAACTGGGAGGAGAGTCAGGGCACAAAAAGATGGACAGGTCCTTTAAGGTAAGCTGGGGCGGGCGGGGGATTCTGGGGGTTCCAGTTATTCCAAACCCTTCTCCCAGACTCATAATTGACGCAAGGCCTTGGGCAGCATCGGGCCTCAATGTGAGGGGATTCTGGGAGTTGCAGTCCCTGAAAAGGAACCGTTTTCCCTGGCAAGCTTAGAGGCTGAATGTGCATTCTAGCTCTGCTGATAGAACAGGCCTGGGCCATCTTGGGCCCTCCCTCCAGGTGTTTTGGACTTCAACTCCCACCATTCCTCACTGCCTCAGGCCCCTTCCTTTTCCCCCTCGGCCGCTTAAGGAAAGGGCCTGAGGCTGTGAGGATGGTGGGAGTTGAAATCCAAAACCTAGAAGGAGGGCCCAAGTTGGCCCAGGCCTATGTTTGAAACATCACTAGCTCAGGAAACCCTTCTTGCCAAAGTGTTGCAAAACCAGATCTTGGCATCCTCCTAAAAAGCCAAAGAATTCCACCCTGAGCAAGTAAGACTTTGGGGGGCGGGGGGTTCCATGGAGAAACTGAAGTCTCTCAACAAGGACTGCTTTGTTCGGATCCCCTCCTTGAAAGGTCTCCCCCCCCCCTCAAAAAAAGGTAAACCAATGGCTGATTGACATCTCTGCTTCAAGATGCCATCGGCCTCCCTCTGGATCTTTCAGGGGGGTGGGAAAGGCTTGAAGGCCTCTGCTTGCAAAACAGGGAGGGCCCACCTTTGGAATCCAGCCCCCCCTCCCCACAAAAGAATCTCTTCCAAAAGCAGAAACCCCGCCCCTTCCCCTGCAGGGAGACCCCCAAAAAGCGGGCAGAGGTTTAGTACAAGAGGAGGAGGAAGGGAGGGAGGAAGGAAGGAAGGAAGCAGCCCCCAGGCCCCTCCTTCCCTAACTCTCCTCGCCCTGCCTCACCCTGGGTTCCCAAGAGATCATCTGTTGCCTCCCTCCCACAAGAAAAAAGGGGAGAAGGGGGTCTCCCTCCTCACCTGTCCGGTGGCTGGGGCTCCAGGCAGCAAAGGAGGCGGGGTGAGGCCAGCACGCCCACGGAGCCCCTCCTTTCCTGCCTCGGAGGGGAAATTTCCTGCCCCGCCTTCACGGCTCCTCCCCCCCCCCCCGGCTCCAGAAGCCAAGCAAAGACTCCCCCAGGCCCCAATGTCGAGGGCTTCCCTATTTTCATGGAGAGGTTGTCACCCCTCGGAGGGGAATCCTGGGCTTCTGTCGGGAGGGCTTGGGTGGTGTCTCCTTGCCTGGCGGAAGGGGGCTGGACTAGATGGCTCTGGGGGCCCATTCCAGCTCTTGGATTCCATAATATACCCATCATCTCTCTCCATCCTCTCTCTCTCCCCCCCTCCATCCTATCTATGGCTGGCTGGCCCTCTGTCGGGAGGGCTTGGGTGGTGCCTCCCTGCCTGATAGAAGGGGGGGGGGGTGTGGACTGCATGGCCCTGGGGCTCCCTTCCAGCTCTGGGATTCCATGAGAGACCTATCATCTCTCTCCATCTTCTCTCTCTCCTTCCCTCCATACTATCTATCCTATCTATGGATGGCTGACCCTCTGTCGGGAGGGCTTGGGTGGTGCCTCCCTGCCTGACAGAAGGGGTGTGTGGACTGCATGGCCCTGGGCCCCCCTTCCAGCTCTAGGATTCCATGATACACCCATTATCAATTTCTCCATCCCCTCTCTCTCTCTCCCTCACCATGCTATCTGTCCTATCTATGGCAGGGTGGCCCTCTGTCGGGAGGTCTTGGGTGGTGCCTCTCTGCCTGACAGAAGGGGAGTGGACTGCATGACCCTGGGGCCCCTTCCAGCTCTAGAATTCCACAATACACCCATTATCTCTCTCTCTCCATCCTCTCTCTCTCTCTCCATGCTGTCTATCCTATCTATGGCAGGGTGGCCCTCTGTTGAAAAGGCTTTGATGGTGTCTCCTGCCTGGCAGAAGGGAGTTGGACTGGATGGCCCTGGGACCCCTTCCAGCTCTAGGATTCCATGATAAACATATCTCTCTCCCTCTTTCTCCATTCTATCTATGACTGGATGGTGCCACCCTGCTTGGCAGAAGGGGGTTGGACTGCATGGCCCTGGGGGCCCCTTACATCTCTAGGATTCCATGAGACACCCATCATCTCTCTCCCTCAATCCTCCTTCTCTTTCTCTATCCTATCTATGTATGGCTGGCTGGCTCTTTGTCAGGAGGGTTTGAATGGTGTCTCCCTGCCTGGCAGAAGGTGATAGGCCTGAATGGCCTTGGGTCTCCCTTCCAGCTCTTGGATTTCATCTCTCTTTCTCTCGTAATCCTGTATTTCTCCATCCTATCTATCCCATCTATGGCTGGATGTGCCTCTGTCAGGAGGGCCTGGATTGGCATCTCCTTGCCCGGAAGAAGGGGGTTGGACTGGGTGCCCTTGCAGGGCTAGGATTCTATGATATACCAAACATCTCGCTCTCGATCCTATCTATCTACCAACCTACTTATTTCTCCACCATATCTATGGCTGGGTGGCCCTCTGTCAGGAGGGCTTGGGTGGTGTCTCCCTGCTTGGCAGAAGGGGGTTGGACTGGGTGGCCCTAGAGCTCCCTTCCAGCTCTAGGATTCCATGATATACCTACCATCTCTCCCTCCTTCCATCCTCTCTCTCTGTCCTATCTAACTTCATCCTATCATGTTTGCTTTGTTCTGTTAGAAATGTAATATAATGGACTGGCTGCTCTGACACGACAAATAAATCCTATCTATGGCTGAGTGGCCCTCTGTCGAGAGGGCTTGGGTGGTGTCTCCCTGCCTGGCAGAAGTGAGGCTTGTCCTGGGTGGCCCTTGGGGTCCCTTCCAAATCTAAGATGCTATGATTTTGAAGAACAAGAGCATCATCGCCTTCTCGCTTTCTGCGAGAAGGCGAAGGGGCTTCTGTCAGGAGGAATTGACATTTCCCTGGCAGAAGGGCCCTCAGGATCTCTTCTGGCTAGGATACTGGGATTCTAAGATGCAAAAAGACAAAACCAAAGGCATTGACCCATCTCAATCCACAAGGAGGCAGGTAAGAAATAACATAATCATTATTATTACTACTATTATCATTATTGGGGAACCCAAGGCTGAAAATTGGGGCAGAGGAAAGCCCCCAGGTCCCCTCTATAAAGCACCCACTTCCAGCTTCTAGGAGAACTGACGGGACACCCAACTGAACCCAACCCTTGGCCTTTCAGGAGGCCACCTCTCTTTCTTAAAGAGGCCACCCATCCAAGTCCCCTTCCATAACCCTCTCCCTGGATCCCATGTGACAGTTGGAATGTTTCAATGTTGGCATCTCCTCGGTGGATTGCACTCCCAGGTCCGACCCCTCTGCCACTTCGGACTGGAAGTTGGAGGTTGACTCTCTACTGTGATGCAGTTGGAAGATGCTCCAGTTGGAAGCCATCCTTCTTGCAAAGGATATTGCCTTGGTGGAGGCTCCTTGGCCACGTCACAGCTCTGCCACGGGAGCCATGTATCCCAGTGACGCCCTCTACTCAGGCTCCCAGACAAGAAGCACAACCACGTCGGCTTGCAACCGGAGCAGAGCCATCTCCTGGGAGCGCGCATCAATATTTCAGCAGAGAAGGCGCAGCAAGAAACAGCAAGACGATCATGATGTAGCAAAAAACATGGACTAGGCCTTAAGAGAGTTCTACATTTTCCCAGGTTCTTCAGTGGCTGAGCTTCTGCCAACCAGGAAGGGGTGTGTGTGTGGATACAGAGTGCTTTCCTGGACTGTGCGCCTGTTCCCTCCACCCCTTGCCCCTTCAAACTGCTTTTGTGGCAGACGGCCTCCAAACCCGTGGATTTGGGCAACACACCAGTGTAAATCCAGCCCTTCGGTGTGGGTTGCATGCCTTGGGAGCAACTCATGGCCTGGCTGCAGTCTAGCCTCTTATTTAAATAAACAAATAAATAGATGTAATGCTGATAAAATGAACACCAAGAAGGCTTAACAAGTTACTCATCATTTAATAAGCATTTCACCACACTGTACTGTTCCCAAAGATTACAGGGTCGATTTATTTATTTATTTATTTATTTATTTAAAAAGAACAAAAAGCAAAAGATACAGAGTGCACAGAAACAGGTGAACAACGTTCCCTGTTGTCGGCGGTTATTTTCTAGGCTTTGTAGAAGAGGCAAATAAAAAACCTAACTGTGAAACCTAACTCTCATGCAAGTTATTGGCTTACAGCAGGCCTCTTCCACCTGTGGCCTCCAGGTCTTTGGGCCTCCAACTCCCAGAAGTCTTGGTTAGCTTTGTGGGAGCAGAAGTCCCAAACACCCGGAGGACCAAAAGTTGAAAAGGCCTGGATTACAAGCTTTCTGAACTGGCAAAAATAGCCCCACAGGAAGCTTTGCTACAGAATATGGAAGAAGGAGCAAAATCATCAAATCCTGCCTCTGTGCTGACTCTCAGCTACTCCGTGGCATCCTTCTCGCAAAGGGAAAGCCCTGCAAGACACCCCCTTCCCTTTGCTTGGGTTTTACAACAAGAGACGGAAACTTTTAAAATAATGGCTTTAATTGTCATTTTAAAGTATACGGGAGGAAAAGTGTGCTCCCAATAAAATATACATCATACCAGTGAGGCTGGCAAAAGGTTGAGGGTAATCTCAAAGGTTTGACAACAGAACATGTGTACATGACAAGGAGGGAAAAAAAGCAATCCCTTTGAAACTCAACAAAAAAGAAAAAGGAAAGACATTCACAGTGGTCTCTACAAACAATATTAACCTGACAGCAATACGTTTCCTAGCCTTGGAGCACACTAGTGTCGTGTGAGGTCCTAAAAAGAAAAGCAGGCATCACACACCACCCGGCGTTAGTGGTACAGATACCCCAAATGGCAGGAGAAGGGGCTGTGGATTCTACAGCTGGGACATAGAGAAGGAAAAGGATCACACCATTGCTCTCCAAACAAATCGTTTTTTTAAATAAAAAAAACTCTTTTCGAGAAGCGAGAGCCTCCTTTGCTGTGACAACCAGCCAAAGCCATCCATCAAAATGAACAGAAAAACCACAAACACATTTAAATCTAGTCTTAGCAGGCTGACCAATACATGTTACTGTTTCTTTTAAAAAATTGAGATTATATACTATAGTACAAGTCCCAACTAGGCCGGGCCAGGAGTGATTATTTCTTTGCTTGTTTCGTGATCATCCCCCGGGGGGGTGTTACGGGTCGGCTAGCGTTGGGCTTCTTCTTCTCGGCAGGCTTCAAGATCTGCAAGGACAATTCAAGGGTCTTTTTAGCAAAGGGGTCTGGAAGCCATGCCTGAACACACGGGGCCACAAAAGACCATCAGGACAGCACACCCCAACTTGACAGTACACATTACATTTCAACCTGATTCCCACCCCAGACTTCGGGCAGGAGTTATTCCTCTAAAGCAGCCCTCCTCAACCTGCAGCCTTCCAATTCCCAGAAGCCCTGTCCACCTTGTTCAATGGTCAGGCATTTTGGGAGATGGAGTCCAAAGCACCTGGAGGGCTGCAGGCTGAAGAGGTCGGCTTTAAAGCTTTGCCATACGCAATGTGGGAAATTCAATGAGGGCGGGGATGCATTTAGGATTGATAACTATGTTTATATTTTTAATAAATATGTATGAAAACAGATAATTGCTTCCTGAGGAGCAGTCTGAAGAGGAAGATGAGGTGAATGCCAGGCTATTAAGACGCCTCCCAGGAGAGAAATCAATATGGGAGAATAGAGGAGATAACATTTGACAGGGGAAAATGCCTGCCAAAAACCACCCCAGTGAAAGCCAGCCTAGACCTGACAGGGAGAGAACGAACGCACATTATAAAGTGCCGGCGGTAAAGCTAAGGTGGTCCCGCAAGGCAAATGCCAGCAGGGCTTTAAGGCTCAACGCCCACACCCTGAATTGAGAACCCATTCTGCCTTTCCTCCCCCATATGACTGTGCCTCGCAGATCGTGCTCTTTCGAGGCAGCGGGGGTGAGCCACGACTTTCGGGGCAATCCAATTCAAGGTGAACTGCTGACGTCTGCCCTACTTAATGTATGCCAGGCGGACGCCTCGCAAAGATTACAGAGACAGAATACGTTGGGAAAGAGCTGGGGCTTACTGTCCCAAACGCTGGGTGCTGGAAAGACCAGCTTGGAGTGAGAAGTGCCAAGTCCATGGGGAAACCAAGGCACCAAGGACTTTCCAGACAGCGTACCTGAAAGGAGCACATCAAAGTCTCATCCACACTCATCATGGCGCCTGCATTGTCAAACTCCCCGCAGTAATTGGGGGCAGAAAACAGGGTGACCAGCTGCCTTTTTGCAAAGAACTCATAGCCATCTTCAACCACCTTTGAAGGAAAAGAGCAGTTAGTGTCAAGAGTGAGGAGAAAGCAAGAGGGAAAGAGCAGCAGTCACTCTTATAGTTCCATATTCTCCTCCCAGGCATCCTCAGCCTCTGGCAAAGGCAGCGCAAATGGCCGTGGAGAGAGTGGGGAGCTCAAGGATCCCGAGTGCAGACTTTCCACAGCCAAATACACATCATGAGACAGCCTGAGACAAAACACCCCAATCCTCTCCCCACAGTCCAAACTGGTATATGCAGACAATGCCAACTTTGCTTTAAGTACTAATGCTATGATACTTGTGAAGTGCATGATGCTAATATGCTTGAAAACCTCCTATGATGAGTCAATTACCCTTTGAAACAGAGTGGGAGACCCATGTAGCAAGACAGTTCCATTTACTCCCTTCCTTTTCTGCTCCCCTTCTGCTAAATGAGAGGATGTTGATGAAAGCTTTGAGCACGCCGTAAGTAGTATATCAAATGTAAACAAGGCACTGAAGAGTGGCAGCATCCTGGCCCACAGAAGCAGTATTCTAGCTGAGATTTACTCTCTCTCTAGACTCACTCATTCTCCCACCTACAAAACCCACTTGCGTCAAGTACACTCTTAATCTGGAGAAGAAATGCTAGATCTTCAGAGGGAGCAGTTACTAAAGCTAAGCAGATGTTCCAATGCAAGTAGACCAGACCTTTTTTTGGGGGGGGGGGGGGGGAGAAGAAAGAGTGTGACAATTTAGTGTGGTGTGGATTAGGGGATAATGCAGAAGCCCTGAGGTTGAACGATTTTGCCATGAATCTTAGTATTACATCTTTACCTGATGAGCTCTGCATATAAGATCCAAATCATGTTTGTGTAGGAACTTTGCAACAACTTCAGCTCCAAAGGTGAAAGACACCCCTCTGTCATTTTCACCCCATCCAAGCACGTCCTTATCTGGATCAGACCACAGCAGATCACAGAGAAGGCCTTGATCAGGCACATCAGTAGGACGCATAATCCGTCGAATCTGTTCCATGGACTGGAGGTCTGGTGATAAGCCTTTGGGAGAAGAAGATGCATTGTGTTCATTAGTGGGGTACAAGGCACATATACAACACTGTGTATTCGTAGGAATGAGAGCCTCACTCCAACTGCCTCCTTCACGTGTTTATTGTGAGGAAATAGCAACAACTCAGTTCTAGCCAAAGGCACGCAGTACAATTACAGTTTTGTGTATTTTCCCCCCCAAATGTACACACTGTTGCTGTAAAATAGGAGGCAACCTTGCCGTCATCAAGCTTATTTGTGTTGTATGAGGCTGGGTTTTGTGCCCTTTGTATTAAAAGACAATATTTTTTATGGGACCCTGCACTAGAAAATATCAATTAGGAAATCCAATTATGACAAATCTCTTATGACTGGAAAAGGATCCTCTATGAGCATCAGTAGCATTCTCTAGCATGAAAGGTGCTGTTTTTGTTCAAAGCGCCCCAATAACCACAGGCCAGTTATAAGGAGACCCCCCCCCCCGCCAAAAAAAAATATCAGTGCTTTTTTGGCATAAGGCACCAGCAACTAGAGTGACCTGACCAAAAGGGCAGTTTCACACTTATTTGTTTCTCCTAGGCATCTGTGGTCTAACGAGTTCCTGTTCTAAGTGGTTGTTATCGTAATCATCATCATCATCATCATCATCATCATCATCATCATCATCATCATCATTGCCTCCTCAAGCAGATGCCTGTTGTCCTCTGTAGGTAAAGCCCTGGTATACCCCAGTTGGAGAGTTTTCACAACTCCACACAGGCTAGCCCATCTTTCATGTACACACATTTAGGTAGCTTGCATTTTGTGCAAATCCAAGCCAGTAGATCAAGATGGCTTGAGGTACCCCAGGTGATGCCATGACAATTCTCAATTTGCTGTGCGACACAAAAGAAACACTCCTGCGAGGCCAAGAGGAAATGACTGTTTATGTGCAGACAGATGTTCAGAGATTAGCAGATTACATTCCTTGGTTCAGCACAATGAATCCCACAACACTATAAAGACCAAACACAACATTGAGGGCATCATATCATTCACAGGGGACCATCAAGGACAGTATCTATGGGACAGTAAAGATACAAAACTATCACTTCTGACAATTTTTGCTGAAATAGGCTCAAGCAAGGAAACACCACGAGCAGCAAAACACCTGGAAGGTACGCACGTTCCTTTTATAACCTAGCATGAAAGACTGCAAGTTGCTACTACCAAAAGACAGCCATTGGTCAAGAGCTTGTGAATCTCAATGCATTTTTCTGTGGCATGACAACTACGCAAAAACAAAGTCACATTCAAGGTTACCAAAGTAGTACAAACAAAAGCCAGTCACAAAGTACGTGTGTGCATGGTGCACTCAGAGAACAGGACACAAGAGTCTTGCAATTATGTCTTAGGACACTGTAGCAGGAAAATTTCATTACCACCCCACTACAGCCAAGGAGAATATAGCTATGCTTCGCCAGCGGGGAAGGGAAGGCAATGCACACAACTCGAGCACAAACCCACCTTAACAAAGAACAAAAACACATGCTCACGGAGACCTTTATGGGTACATCAGCATTGTAATTATATCAAAGAAACGACTTCTCTGACTGGGAAACTTCAAAACTGAAATGGAGTCAAGAAGAGCGATGCAGGGTGACAAGGAAAAATGGTATAACTTGCATTTCTCAACTCAAGGTCCCAGTCTGTGATGGGAAACACACATTACAGATTTGACAAGTTACCCTGCACCAGTCCTCTTGACTACATCTCAGCTTAAAGTTTCTCAGTCAGAAAAATCTGATGTTATCATGTATGTAAAAGAAACAGAAAAGGAAGAGAAACATCACACAGAATGCTTGGAATAGCAATGTAGAAGAATATGTATCTAGTCCTCAAATCTCCTCCACCACAAACAGAGAAGGACAAATTGCTTACCTGTAACGGTAGTTTTTCGAGTAGTGATCTATGAAATCACATAAATGCAGAGCACATTTGGAACCCTCTAGATCTTTATCGAAACAGCCTTGCATTAAACCTGCCCACTCTCCCACCAGTATGAATAGGTGGGTTCCCCAGTTCCATGGTCATCCAAGCAGCAGCCAAAGGACACCAGGGATGGCATGACGCCAGAGGGGAGGATGGGCATGGTCGTGTGATTTCACAGATTACCACTTCATGGCATCTGTGAATTACACAAATGGGAGGCTAGCAAGCTACTAACCAAAGGTGGCAGGAGACATGCCACATTAAAACAGCATTACCCCCCCCCCAAAAAAAACCCCCTCAGTATCCCTGTGGGACATTGAGTTCAATCTGTAAAGGAAAATACAAGTTAGAGGTCTAGACCATGTGGCCACTCTGCAATCATCTTTGCACCTCTCAAGGCGGCCACAGATGCAGCCACAGTCCTTGTGGAGTGGTTTTGAATGTTCTGAAGGCTGTTTGCCAGCCAAATCATAAACCAGTCTGATGGTAGAAGCAACCCACTTAGAAAGTCTTTGGGTTGACATAGGTAAGCCTAATTTTTTAGATGAAAAGCACAGGAAAAGTAGATTTCCCGTGAGCCAAAGTCCAGTGACCGTAAAACGAAGGAAAAAGCATTACGTCCTCATTAAGATGAGAAGGAGAGAAACCTTCAAAAGAAAGGAAACGACAGGTCAGAGAACAGCTTGATCACAATGGAAACACAAATATGATTGGTCAGCTCAAAGAGCACACAGTTCACTCTCTAGCCTAGAAGATGGGACGGCTACAAGGAAGGCTGCATAACAGAGGAGAAAGTAAATGGGGACACAGCTGTAGTAGACACCATGTGTCCTAGTAGAGATGGACATCTTGAGCTCGCACGCTTCTGAGATATATGCAGAAAAGAGCAGAAGTCTGCAGTGTTCGGAACCAAGCCTCGTAGAAGGAAGGCCGCTTCCCGGATTGAGTTCATGATGGCCCTGATAAATTGAGTATGTTGAGTAAGAAACAGATGAGATTTGTCGAGGTTGATGATGAGGTCTAGAGTGCGAAGGAGAGTTAAAGTGACATTACATTGTGAAGTAGCTAATCTCGAGAATGTACTATTAGAAGCCAGGAGTCTATGTAGGAGAAAGGGACGATGCCCTGTTATGAAAAGAAGACATTGGTGCAGTGGCAGTAGCAAAGAGGATATTGTTCTTGACACCATCAAAGCTGACATTGCAAGGCAGCTATTTGCGTTGAGTGAAAGCGAAAGATGTCATAGCAGTTGGGGGCTAGAATTGCGCTTGATGCTTTGACATAACTGAGGGAGGTCCAGAGGTGTAAAACTGGAAATGTTGGTGTCCAAAGGTTGTGGCCTAAAAAGAGGGTGGAAAGCCAAAATATCTTGCAGTGGTTTTCACCTTATTTGTGTGCCCCAAGTGAGCATTTGTTTCTGGGTGGAAAAGGCTCATCTCATCAAATGGGAGATCCTCGATGACCGCTCTGGCAGAAGATGTTAGGCCCAAGGAACGCAGCCAAGCGTGTCGACGCATAGTGACCGCGTGCGCTATGAGCTTCCCAGAGCAGTCAGCAACATGCTCAGAAAGCTGGATTTGATGGCCAGACAACATGCAGGCCTCCTGGTAGATAACTGACAACACCCGTTGCTCCTCTTCTGGGAGACGTTCAAAGTATGGCGCTATCTTATCCCAGAGATACTTCTGGTAAGCACCCATAGATGCTCCATAGTTTGAGATTTTGGCCAACAGACATCCTGAGGTGTAGACTTTGCGCCCCATGGCATCGAGCTTCCTCCCTTCTTTGTCAACTGGAGTGGTATGAACCTCACGTGAAGTTTTAGATTGTGCAATGTCCACGATGAAAGAATTTGGCATAGGATGTCGAGTAAGCCAATCAAGGGAAGTACTGTCAACTCTGTACAAGTTGTCCAACTTGCGTGATGTTGCAGGTATCGATGCTGGGGTGGACCAGGAGGCTTTAAGCACCTGAAAAAGGTAAGGCAGGAAGGGAAGAACAGTAGGTGAAGGAGCTTGAAGTTGGATGTCTTTAAAGATAGGGTCATAGATGGCAAAGTTAGGCTGTTGTATTTGGAGGCCCAGAGCTCCGGCCAAGCGGAACATCTGATCCATGAATGGTCTGAAGTCATCAATTAATGCTGGTGGCTCAGGATCAGCTACGAGTGGAGTGGGAGAGAAACCAGGCCTCGAGTCCAAAGACGAGTCAGATGAAAAGGAGTGGTCATCACAATGCCCATGCCTAGATGGGAGTAACTGGCTCCAATGTCTGGAGGAGTGAGAGGGAAAAGCAGAAGCCTGTGGTTCTAATGGGGCACAAGCGGCATCTGTGGCCATGTCTGGTTGAGAAGGGTCAAGATTAGAGGCAGCGTCAATGGGGGGAGCGGCCATAGCCGAAGTCGGAGACCTTGGATACCGACGGGAATGGATTTGATATCCTTGGACATGGGAGGAACAATTGCACCCTGGGAAGTGCCGACAGGAATTATGGTAGTCTTCAGTAACACGCCTGTTGTGGGAATGGCCATAGGGTGCACTGTGGCAGTGATGATCTCTATGGTGTGGCTTGTATGAACGGGGCCGCAAAGAACCAGAAGAACAGGAACAAGTCGAGTAGGACCGATAGTGCCCATGTCGTGAGAAGTGCCGATGTGGGGAGCGACCTCTTGATACCAAATGACTCAGAGACTGAGGAAGTGGATGGGTTGGCCTGGAGCCATCAAATTCAGCTACAACAGAAATGGTAGTGGGGTTCGGAGGGGGCTGAGTTGCAAGGCAGGCCTGTCCTTTCGTAAGAGGAGCATCTTGAATCTCACCCTCAGAAGAAGTCTCAGTTCTGGGAGAATGCTCAAGTACCAGAGATGCAAATTCTTGGGCTGATGGCATAGATAAAGTAGACGCCTGAGATGAGCCAACTACACCTGTGATCCTGGGATAGTCAGCCAACATCAAAGAAGGAGGGCAAGTGGGAGATTCTTCCACTTGATCTCTCTTTTTATATTTCCTCTTGGATCCATCCTCAAATTCAATGGAGCAACCTGG